AGGCGCCGCGCCTCGGGTCCTGCGGGCCGAGTGTGGGCTCACACCGCCGCGTGGGGCTCCTTCTTGGAGGGTTGGGGGAGCTCGCGCACGTCGTCCTCGGGAGGCAGACCCTCGGCTCGACCTGCCCCTCGTCCTCCGGGTCTCCGCGCCCCCACCTCGACCAAACCAAAGACCATGGTGCACTGTGCCGGCTGCAAAAGGCCCATCCTGGACCGCTTCCTCTTGAATGTGCTGGACAGGGCCTGGCACGTCAAGTGCGTCCAGTGCTGCGAATGTAAATGCAACCTGACCGAGAAGTGCTTCTCCCGCGAAGGCAAGCTCTACTGCAAGAACGACTTTTTCCGGTAAGTGCTGCCCGGCCCGGCGGCGGCGTCTCTCTTGCCCGTGCCCGGCGAGTCCGCCTCCCTCGGCCCACCAGCTGGAGCGCGGCCGGCCGGAGACGCCAGCCTACTTGCGTCCTGGGAACTGTGCGTCTTGGGTTGGCTGCACGTGCCTAGGAAGAACGGGTCTGAGCCCACCTCGGCCCGGCCCACAAGCCCCCTCCAAGTTGGGCAGGAGGCAAGGCTGCTGGGGCCTGAGTTCTCCAGCAATCCTCCCCTCCCAGCTGAGCCCTGGACGCTCCCTTTCCCTAGCTTATCCCGTTGCTCTCCAGCTCCGGGGGCGGAGGGGGGGTGGCGAGGGCTTGGAAGGAAGGGTGCCTGCACCCCACCCCCGCTTCGCCCCTGCTTTGGTCTCTGAGCGTGGGTCTGGCCCGCGACGGCACTGTCGCCTGCCTCGAGCCCTAGAATGCAGCCTCGGGACAGCAAGTTTTCTCCCGTCGCCGGCTGCCAAGGTTGGCGGGTGCCGCCGGTGAAGGCTCGGTGTGACCGCTCAAAAGCACCGCAGCAGTTTCATTGTATTCACTGAAACCCCCTCTCTCTTGCCCACTCACCTACGCAAACATCCAGAAGAAAAGGCCCACCGGCGAAGTGTGATTCCTTTGGGTGGAGGTCAGCTCGCCGCTCATTTCAGCAGATCGGGTTTCTGCTTTGCTCCCTGAGTCAGACTCATGGCAGCGGGTTTAGTTTTTGTTTGTCTCTCTCACTGTCTCTAAGTTTGTGGCGTTTGTGGGTGGGTGGGTAAGTGGGAGTGTATTCAAAATTACCTAGCCACTTTGCCCAGAGGCCTAGGGCGTGCTGCCCCTTCAGCCTCTCCTGGGGTGTGTGGCTCTGGGGGGAGGATCATGAAGGTTGCACAGGAGGGAGGCAGAGTGGCCCAAGCCTCTGAGAACCTAAGCTGTGTGGGTCACTAAGGCCTGGTTCCAGCAAAGTGTGGCGAGGCGCCTAGAATCAGGTTGACTTGGGTTGCCCCTCTATGCCTTCCGGGCGCCCCCGGTGTCCGAGTTAGTCTCCCTGCGGCGGGCGGGGTGGGATTAGGCCACTGGGGTCTGAGCGCTCATCCTTCTCTGTGAGAGAGAGTCCAGCGCTGGGAGAGAAGAGCAGCGCTCAGGGTGCGAGTTTACCCAGCCCGCCTGAATGCACTGTCCTCCGAATCTAAAGAGAAACTTAGTTTCCCGTCCCCGGCTCGCCTCCTTCCCCACGGTGCTTTCTTCCTTCGGGATAGATAACGCGGGCGGGGACCCTTGCCTCAACCCTATGTGTCTCTTCTGCGACTTGGCCCTGGTGCCCGCCTTCTGCTCCTCCTCTTCATCGCTTAATGGCCCGTCCGCTTCTCTTCCTTCCCCTCCCCTTCTCCCCGCTCCTTTCTCTGTCTTCTCCCCTTCCTTCCCCTCCTTCCTTCCTTCCCGTTTACCTCTCCCGCTCTCCTTCCTCCTGGCTTCTATCTCTCCCTGCCCCTCGCCAACCCGGTTCCCCTGCAGGTGTTTCGGTACCAAATGCGCTGGCTGCTCCCAGGGCATCTCCCCTAGCGACCTGGTGCGGAGGGCGCGAAGCAAAGTGTTTCACCTGAACTGTTTTACCTGCATGATGTGTAACAAGCAACTCTCCACTGGCGAAGAGCTGTACATCATCGACGAGAACAAGTTTGTCTGCAAAGAAGATTACCTAAGCAACAGCAGTGTCGCCAAAGAGAACAGCCTCCACTCGGGTGAGCCTCCAGGTCGCGGCTTCCTAGGGGCGGGGAGGGTCCTGAGAGACACGGCCTCACCCAGGCCGCCGCAGCTGCTGCTCACCTGCCCGCCCTCCCTTCCTCTCCCCAGCCACCACGGGCAGCGATCCCAGTTTGTCTCCTGACTCCCAAGACCCGTCGCAGGACGACGCCAAGGACTCGGAGAGCGCCAACGTGTCGGACAAGGAAGGGGGCAGCAATGAGAATGACGACCAGAATCTGGGCGCCAAGCGGCGGGGTCCGCGCACCACCATCAAAGCCAAACAGCTGGAGACCCTGAAGGCTGCCTTTGCCGCCACGCCCAAGCCCACGCGCCACATCCGGGAGCAGCTGGCCCAGGAGACCGGCCTCAACATGCGCGTCATCCAGGTCGGGGCCCAGGCGCGCCACATCTGGGAACAGGAGAGCTGGGGGATGGGTGGGGGTGGGGGACTAGGAGAAAGACGCAGATACACCTTGAAGCTCAGACGTTAGAGCATCAGAAGACCCCAAAGCCGCTGGTCTGTCTCTTCCCAGCTCCTAGGAGGTGACAGTGGAGGGGGAGGGAGAGCTCAGCAGGAGGTTGGAGGAGAGGATGCTGTTGGACATCCCGGGGAGAATTGAGACCCCACTATCTGCATGATCTGCATTGTCCCCTCTGTCTGCGGGAGGAGCGGGGCAGTTCGTGGGCACACAGGAAGTGACACCTTCCCCGGCTTCTGTGTTCCTAACTTCTGTCCCTATCCCTAACTGTATGGGTCCCTTATCCCAGAGTAGAGACTAGGTGCTCATTCTGGGTGGGGAGAGAAGGTGGTGTGTGTGGGTGTGCAGTCAGTTCTGCGTGGAAGTGCGCAGGGCATGGTGAGCGCGTGAGGCTGCGTGGGCTTCGCATTGCCTGAGTGTCCCAGGAGCTGGCTGGTAGGTTCTGCCTGCAAGGTGGTGGAAGGGGAGTGGGGGGTGTCTGGAATGGTGGTGCCTGGGAAGCCGAGAGTCCACGTGCAGGTGTGCCCTTTGACCTCTGGGAAGTCGCATGTTTGTGTGGGAGGCTGGGGTGAAAATGTTTGGTGGGACCGAGTGTGAAAATGAGCTGCGGGTTTTGAGTATTGATGTGGCATGGAGCGTCAACCGGAGTCTGGATCCAGGTCTTATGTCACTATTGTGGGCGGAGGGGAGCACCTAGACACTGCACAAGGGAAGCTGTGTGTGACGTTGGTTAGAGGAGGCTAACCTCTAGAGTTAGAGTGTGCGTGTGTGTACAGCCCTCGGAAAGCTGTGATCATGACCGTGACCGTTAGAAACAACAGGGCGACTCCTCTCCCACTGACTCCCATAGGGAATTCTGCCCAGACACCACACACACACACACACACACACACACACACACAGCCGGGCAGGTAGAGGTGAGGGGCCAGCCGCGCGCCCGGGGCTCAGGGGCTACTCCTGGTGTCCTTCAGGTCTGGTTCCAGAACCGGCGCTCCAAGGAACGGAGGATGAAGCAGCTGAGTGCGCTGGGCGCCCGGCGCCACGCCTTCTTTCGCAGCCCGCGGCGGATGCGGCCGCTGGTGGACCGCCTGGAGCCGGGCGAGCTCCTCCCCAACGGGCCCTTCTCCTTCTACGGAGGTGGGTGCGCGCCAGGCTGCCAGTGGCTTCGCTGGAAGCGGGTGGCCGTGCGGGAGGCACGGTTCTCTTTCTACAAAGAAAGGGGGAGTGGGGACAAAGAGGGGGCAGCCCAAGAGTAATTCCCAGGGAGGTGAGGAGCCCCAGGCCAGCGAGGCCCCCCGCAGGTGGTGGGCTGCAGGGGAGGAGCAAGCCCAGCCTCCTGGCTCCTCCCGGGTTCCCAGACTGACCGGTCCTGACCTCCCCACGTCTTGCAGATTACCAGAGCGAGTACTACGGCCCCGGGGGCAACTACGACTTCTTCCCGCAAGGCCCCCCGTCCTCGCAGGCCCAGACGCCAGTGGACCTGCCCTTCGTGCCGTCGTCTGGGCCGTCCGGGACACCGTTGGGCGGGCTGGAGCACCCGCTGCCAGGCCACCACCCGTCGAGCGAGGCGCAGCGCTTCACCGACATCCTGGCGCATCCCCCGGGAGACTCGCCGAGCCCCGAGCCCAGCCTGCCAGGGCCCCTGCACTCCATGTCGGCCGAGGTCTTCGGACCAAGCCCACCTTTCTCCTCGCTGTCGGTCAATGGCGGGGCGACTTACGGCAACCATTTGTCCCACCCCCCAGAAATGAACGAGGCGGCAGTGTGGTAGCGGGTGTCGCCTGGTCCGCCGCGTTCGTGGTTGTACAGAAACGAACCTTTATTTAAGAAAAAGAAAAAAAACCATGAAAAACAAAGTCCTCCCTACCTTTTTCCATCTTTGGGGACCGCTCAACAACGGCTTGGGAGACAGGATGGGGAAAGGGGACAAGAACTAGGATCCAAATCCACCTCGAGGCGGGACTGGGTCTGCTTGCTGGCGGGAAAAGTACAGGTCTGGGGCTCTCGTCTCCCACTCGGACCCCGACCCTGGAAGAGACCCCACGGGTGTGCGCGCCTGGGCCACAGGGCGGTGATGGGGTGACAGTCAGTGGTGACGGTGACGGTGACGCCAGGAGCCGCGGGGAGGGAAGCTGCAAGGCTCGGACCAGTGAGGGCGGAGAAACGGCCGGCGCCCAGGCCGGCCAGGAGGGTTCTGACTGGGAAGAGCCCGCTTAGTGTTCTCAGTGCAGCCACAGCGACCATAAACTCTCATAGCTTCAGAACCGCCGACCTGCTGCGCATCAGGTGGGACTATATACATATATATATATTTTGTCTACCTGGGTTTTTTGTTTTGTTTTTGTTTTTGCCAAAATTGCAAAATTCTAAATGTAAAGCCCTCAGTATCAACTCTTCTACCTTCACAAAACTCTCCAACACACTTAATGCAGATAAACACGCAGACACACTAGTTAGAACGAGTTCCAGCCAGACCTCTCACTAAAATGACTTGAACATTAGCCGTACAAGAAAAATATTCTACCTTCACACACTCCAAGTTAAAAAAAAAGACTATTGAACTAAAAACAGTCAACTGTTTACGTATAATACTAAATTCAGGAGTTCAGTGTTTTACTAATCTATACTGTTTTGAAACCTCTTGTTCAAGGACAAAATGTTTTGAGCAATCAACCAAAATTGTTCCTTTTCTTTTTCTGTAGATGTTCTGACAGATTTGCAGGGCTTTCAGCTCACTGTGCTAGTATGTAAAAAAAAAAGGTGTTGTTTACACGAGGCAAAGAGAAAATTCAGTCAGTTGCCAAATAGAATAATTATAGCACAAATACTGTAAAGGTGCCTGGCACCAGCGACTTGAGAAAGTGTTTAAAAACAAACAAACAAACAAAAAAGTGTTACAAGGTTTAAAAAAAATCTTTGCTAATTTTTAGTCCTGTTGAACATTCATGGAATTGTTAATAATGACTTATATAGACCCACACAGGTTTTATTTTTGTGTCTTTAAAATAAAAGTCCAAAATATTTAAATTTTATGGTCAAATATGCAGTCAACAGCTGCTACTTTTTCCTTTATATATTAAATTTCTCATATGTCTTTTATTGTTCGAATAAACCTAAGCTCGTGTGACCTCCAGTGCATATTAGACCATTCACTGTATGAAAGAAAACATGTTGAATAAATTTGTGAGTTTTTAATAAAAATAGAAAATCCGATGTTTAGATAATCAGTGTGTTATTTTGTAATTTAACGACTGAGAGGAGAGGGGTGGGGGACCCCATAGTCCCTCCCCAAGTCTTCAGGAGGGAGAGAGAAGCAGGCTTGGGGTAATGGATCCATTTTTGCCTTGGTTGTGTAGCTGAACCGCCTCAGCTAATGTGCGCAGAGCTTTTATCTGTTGTCTCCTGCTGTTATTAACTACAGATTTGCATTCTATGGGTTTAACGGATACAGTTGAGGAGATGTTTGCTGATAAGTTAATATAAAATTGGAAATAGAAAGCAAATCCGTGGCTGAAAATGAGTGGTCCAGGTTGTGATTAGGTAAGAGAGCCTGTGCATCCCCTAAATGGAAAACCGGGCTTGTGATTGCCAAACTGTAAATATCTAGTCAGAGGTGATCTTTTTTTCCAGCTACAATTCATTTCCCATAGATAATCCTGCTTCCTAATTTGGTGCTTTGAAAGATAACGAAAAATGGATGTACAGTACAGGGAGAAGTGAAATACTTTAATCCCCTTTTCACAGAGCTGAGATGACATCCTTGTTTTAGAGTTTTTGTTACATTTGAAGTTCCCGAAGAAAAAAAATATTTTGCCAGGCACAAGATCCCGGTTAAGTTTCTCTGGAAGATGAACACAAATAAGCAATGTAGCAATACAATTTCCATTGCGAGCTGCCAAGCCTTCATTAGATATGGAAGGAATTTAAATATTCCATCTACTATGAAATAGGTGGGTGGGAGAGTCTGAGTGTGAGTTAATATCAGATGCTGTTACAGCGCCAGGATTTCTCCTCCGTATCGCCCAGGACTCGGTCTGGATTCGTTTTTTTCATTATTTTAGAAATCAAAAGTTTGTACGTCAAAGGGTATGTCATTTACAGTATTGTTTTCATACTTTGTGCAGACGCCGCCAAGTTTATCTTTCCTGCAGAGAACGTTTCAAAATAAGAGATCTTGCCCTGCACACATGTGACTGCCCCTTTAGCAGAGGGGAGGGGGGACATCAGGGAGGACTGTTCTGTCCAAAATGGAAATGTATGAAATATGGGGAGACTTTTGAAACCCCTGGCCTCTGCAGACAGCTCCTTTCATTACCTGTTTTCTATGCATCCTCTGGACTACCGAGTGGTTTGCTCTTTGAGCGTTTATATACATTGAAGCCAGACTCAAAGAGGCCCTCATCCCCTTTGAGAGAGATTCGTTTCCCTGGAGGACGTCTGCGCCTCGGGAGGCTGCATTTCCCTAGCCCGGCAGCTGAATTCTTTAGCAGCTTTCTGGCCGCCCCGCGCCTCCACGAAGGTGGCAGAGTTGGGTGCCCGGGCTGAACCCAGCCTCCTCGCCGACCCTGAGGCGGCGGCCGCCTTTCCCTTTGGCGCGGGATCCGAAACCCTGGCCAAGGCCCGAACAGGTGGCAGCGCTCAGCAGTCCAATTTGGAAGCGAAGGCCGGGAGGAGGAGGTTCAGAAGCCGCCCAGACTGTCGGCCCCGTGGGAGCTGCGCTGCCCATCTCTGGGCTGGAGGTGCGGGCTAACACGGAAGCTTCCTGGAGCCGCGGGGCTGGGAGCGCCCCCTGGGAGGCGCTAGGGCCGGAGGGGGACTTCCAGCGGTCCCCTCCCTTACGCCCCCGGAGAGCAGCCTCAGCCTGGTCTCCCCTCCTGGTCATTTGAAAGTCGCCTCCTGGTGCTTCTCTCTACCTACCCTGGGAGTTCCCCCGGCGGGGAGCCACCATCTGCGCTGGCCAAAGCGCTGAAGCCCACCCACCCAGCCTCTCCAAACTAGTGGAGACTAGGGGGGTGGTGTGCAGTGAGACTACGGGGCGGGCAAGGAGCGTGCGTGGAGAGCCAGGGCGGGCATGACCTGGGGCCTGAGAGGAGAGACAGGGCTGAATTTGGTCCCCTCACCAAACTCTTGAACCCCTAGTTCTGTGAACAGTGCCTTGGGACCTTGAGGGAAGGGCCTGCTACCTCCCTCCTAGTCTTCTGCTACCTGTACAGCCTCCTGTCCCTTTGTCGTCCTGGGCAGTAAACAGAGACTGTGAACCAGGAGACTACCCCCTGCCTCCTCTGGCAGGACTCCTCCTCTCCTCCCTGAGCCCTGTCAGAGGTTATTTCTACCAGGGAAGCAGTCTGCAATCTCCCCCCAGCCCCCAACACCCACCCTCCATTCCCACCAGCCATCCTCCACAGGACCTCAGGAAACTAGAATGCTGGTACAGAGGAGGCTGTAGGGGGGATAATATATATATATATATATATATTAATATATTTGGGGTCTGATAGATGTATTATATATATTTGGGGTCTGATAGTCCTGCCCTGTGTCTCAACTTCTCAACTTCAGGTTTTAGATTCTTTCCTTTTTCCTCCACTCCTAGGCACCCTTTCTTATAATCAGTATGGGGTAGGTGAGCAGAGGATGCATTCTGGGGATCTGGAGTGTACAGAGCTGGAGTTGACTCCATAGCAGTGTCTTTTTTTTCTTCTTCTTCTTCTGGAAATTGCGTGTGACAGGAGACGGGTGGTCCATCCCAAGGAGGCTTCCTGAATCTGTGGGACCAGGGCAGGATAGGAAGAGTAGGTGAGCAGATATAAAACATTTTCAGGTGGTTGTGTGGGCCAGACTGAGAATCATCAAGCACTAACAGGTTTGCATAATAGCTCAGAGGTGGTCTCTGCCCCTTCTCACCTCCCTTCCCTCTTCTGTTTACTCCAGGGCAGATTTCTAAGCATGATTCATGTCCTTAGTCACAAGTGGAAAGGATTGGGGGAGAATGGTTTCTTGCATGCGGGGTGGGGGTGGAAGAAACATTTTTATTCTTTGCTGGGGGTGGTAGTTGTTGTAGCCTGGGGTGCACACTTCTGCTCTGGAGGCTCCCAGTGCAAGCACCAGGCTTCAATGACGGGATAAGGAAAAAGAAGAAATCATCCCCACCTGAATTTCATGGACAGTGGTTTTCTTGCCTGAATCCCCTGCCTACAGTGCCCTGTCCTAGTCTTCATTCTTCAAGAGCCACCTGGACCGGGGAACATGGGACAGGATACACTAAAGTGCTGGTCTCTAGTTGCTCTTGACCGTAAGGCCACAGGAAGACAGGGACCTGCATATTCCTTGGATCACACAGGATAGTCTGAAGAGTCGAGGGTTCCCCAACCCCCAGGATGCTTAGTTGTGGGATCCAACTGGCCTGGGTTGAACCCAAGAAGGGGCACTGCCAGAGTGCACCCCTAAGATCTATTCTCTAGGGGTTCTAGGTTCCTACAGGCTACCTCAAACAGACAGTGGAAGAATAGAGCACTTGGCACTCAACTCATCGTTTGTTATTGCAGTTTCTGTTCCTATTGCAGTTCTGTTCCCTAGGCCGCTCCTGTCAGGGCAGCCACTAACTTACTCATCTTTCTATCTCATCTAGCAGCGCCTGCCATATAGAAGGCAGTCAGGGAATGCTTGATGAAGGAAGGCCAATGTAAAGGGATTGTATCTTTCTGTGTGTCTGAATGCAAGTCAGTATATTTCATGAATGTGCTTGGAGTCTCTTACCCCCTAATGGCAGACCTGAGTTTTTCTGGCTTTTTACACCAGTTTCAAGTGTCTGACCATTTAGTCTTTGAACAGCAAAGGCTACTTCGAGAAGAGAAGCTAGCAACAATTGCTTTAAAAGTTTTAATTATGGACAACCAGATTGTTCTTTGTTATTAGGTGCCATTCTGGCCCATAGCCACCGTATGCACCATAGAACACAAGGCGACAAGGCCCAGTCCTGAGCCATGCTCCTCCTCGGTACTGTTTGAGCCCACACATCATGCTTGGTAGAGAGCCCACCAAAGTGAGGACCCTTTTAATAAAGGCACCTGAAGTCCTCTGAACACTTACAATACTCAACCCTAGGGGTTCATGTGCTTAGACTCCCAAGCCCAAACCCAAACCTCCCTGCCATCTAGGATCTACGATTGAGTAGGACTGCCTTGTGGCTTTCTGAGATTGTAATTCTTTTCTTTTTTTTTTGAGATTGTAATTCTTTACGGAAGTGGAATGGCTCATCTTTTCTCTGCAGAGCAGCTGATGGTTTCAAACTGCTGACCTTACAGTTAGCAGCCACTTAACCCACTAGAGCTTCTCCAAATTGGCAAAGGCCAAACCTGCTTTTGGTGCAAGTCTGAGTGTGCCCAAGGTTCGAGATGCTGAGCCCCTCCTTCCCAAATAAATCACCACGGTTTACGGCTGCATTGCACTTTATTTCTAAGAAAGTCTCGCGTAAATCTTGTGGCATATTTTGTGATGAGGTACCGGCCGCTCGCACCGCAATTCTCTGCTAAACGCGGCCCGCGGCCACGAACCCTTGCGCGCTCCCGCACTACCCAACACGCCACATTCGGCGCACGCGCACGCGCACGCGCGCCAGCCGGCCGACAATCCCTCCAGCGTTCCGCGCGCTTCCGCCTTCATCTTAGTAACGGTCGTAGTGACGCATACGCCCCGCCTCTTTTAGCACGGCTCCCGGAAGTTGCCAGCCGCGAGTTGGGCGCCTGGTTCTGCGCGGTCCCAGGCTGTGTTGGGGACTAGTCGCGGGGCGGGAGGGGCCGGCGGGAACCGAGCGTCAGGGCTGGGGTTCGGTTACAGATTGACGTGCGCGAACTGACCGAGACCTGGTGACAATGGCGGGGCCGCAGCCTCTGGCGCTGCAGCTGGAACAGCTGCTGAACCCGCGACCGCGCGAGGCGGATCCCGAGGCCGACCTAGAGGAGGGTGAGGCCTGACTGGGGCAAGCCACGTGCGAGCCCGGGGGTGGCGTGTGCGGCGCTGGCAGCCGGGCCTCGCCTGTTCTCCGTCCCCTGGCGCGCAGGAAAGCTGCCCCGGGTGGAGTTTGCTCCCGGGGCCGGGGCGGGAGCTTGGGTTTCTTTTTGACGCGCACTCGCCAGCCTCGCTTCTCGGGTGGGCGGAGCATCCGGGAACTGTTGGTGCAGAGCCGGTTTGGGATGGAGGGCTGTTGGCGGGGCGCCAGAGCTGGTTGGAATTTGGAAATTATCCTTTAGGATGCCCTTATTGGTATTGCGTTAGGAATGGGGGTGCGGGGAGGAGGTCTCAATCGTTTCTCCCCTAGCTGCCCGGAAGAACTTGTGTAAGATCAAAGGAAGAAGTAAAATTCCCTGTGGCTATTTAAGCCTCCTTTGGCCTCAAGACCCTTGCTCTCTGGCTAAATAAAACAGGTGTTTTGTAGGCAGCTGTTCCCGATGTAACAGAGCTTTCCTCCTTTAGACTTTGGAGGAGGGGGAACTAAGGAGACAGAACTAAGTGCTGGACCTTGGCTTCGAAATGCCCCTTGGAGGAACAGGTGCTGTCCGGCTAGGATAAGCCGAGGAAAATAGCTGAGAGGTGGGGGCAGTGTGATGAGAACGTGGGAGCAGGTTTGCTAGCTACATTTGAGGGTCTGTCACATATGACAGAGGAATTGACCTAGTTTTTGACTGATGCAAGGCATAAAACTAACTCACCAACTTTCTGTTCAGGTGAGGGGTCCGCCTTGGGAAGGAGTGTGTTTGTTCCCTGGTCTTGGAAGTTAGCGGGGATTTTAGAGTGCACATTTAAGCATCAGATGAAGGGGTTGACTTGGGCTCTTATTAAAGTGGCCTTTAATTTGGAGATCCTGATGACTTTCCCCCCTGCCCCACAGCCACTGCCGCCAGAGTGATTGACAGGTTTGATGAAGGGGAATGTGGGGAAGATGATATACCGGTAGTGGGCAGCATTAGAAAACTGGCATCAACCTCCTTCTTGGACTCGGACAAAAGATATTCTGGCAAGACCACCTCCCGAAAAGCTTGGAAGGAAGACCACTGGGAGCAGACTCTGCCAGACTCATCTGGTAAGTAGACATCCTTGCATGGTGCTCTTTCTGAATTTGTAAGTGTGCAGAGGGGAGGGGAAGGTGATCTCTCAAGACTAAGCTGTGTGCCCTTGTTATTTTGGGGGAGATCCTTGGTTTTGGCACTAGAAAGTGCCTTTGAGGTCATTTAATTTCACTTCATAAGGAATCTAAAGCCTAGAGTTGCTAAACACCTTATTCAGACTAACAGTTCACCTTAAAAGAAAGGGTAATGTATATTGTATATTAAAAAAGGCCGTGAGTTTAAAAAGCATGGTATCTGATGAGAATGCTGAGAATCTTGGGTTCAGGCCCCTTTCTTTGGATTTTTTTAGTTCTTGCCATTGAGCATAGTATTAGTTATTTGTGAAACTTTTTTTTTAACCATTGTAAAAGTAAAACAATCCCCCTCCCCCCTTTCCCTACAAGAGAGGTGGGTGTGAGGATTTGAACTTAGGCCTTTGAAGCATTGTTGTTTCTCAGTGTGGAAGAAGGGGCTGGCTCTGATGATTTCGGCAGGTGCCCTTTGCTTTCCTTTGGAGAGGTCAGCAGCAAGGACCATGCTGAGAACTCCTAGACACCATGGAGGAACTTGTCCTTCAGGATATGTCTAGGATTTAGGCCTTGGTATAGCTCTGGCAGTTCCTAATAGGTGCCTCCCATAGTCTTTGCCTATAGAGGCTGATACTAGGATCATTCAGGAGATAAAGATGATAATATATATTGAACTGCCACCAACTGTCAGGCTTGATAATAAACTTTAAAAAAAATATTTCATTGGCACATAATTTACGTATCATACCATTCAATAGTTCAGACATTCATATCAAGGAGAATTGTAGATGGTAAGCTAAGTTCTAAGTCCCTAAGACATAGAGTCCTCAAAAAATGCCATCTCTACTATCATTATATATGTCATCTCATTTAATTCTCTAGCCTTATGAAGATACTATTTACTCCCAATTAACAAGTAAGGAAATCGAGGGACTGGTCGACTCTGTCACTTGTTAAGGGCCACACAGCTGGTAAGCAGAAGAGTTGGGATTCAGATGAAGGGTGTGTGTTGCCAAGACCTCGACTCTCCCCCACTGCTCTGTGTGACTGTGTCTAGTCTGAGAGTCAGCATGCATTCGAAGAATTGAGAAGGTTTTTGCTTTTAGTTGTTGTATTTATGTTTCTGATGGTCTTGTGTGTATACTGTGATTGATAGAAAGAAGTACTGCAGAAGTACTGACCCATCATGTTTCATAAAGTGTCATGTTGAAGAACATTGTTGGTGATTGGCCCCCTAATCGGATCATTGTTTGTTGCTGTACATGTGGCCTGCAGGTTATTTTAAGGGAGAGCTGGGACAATCAGTGAAGATGACTAAGTGTCAGGTAATGCCTGAGCATACTTTAAGTGGGGCGCCTTCACTGGCACTTCACACAGGATCAAGTTCAAACTCTTTCCCGAGGACAAAGCACTTCTGTATCTTGCCCATGAGCAGTGTTCTAGCCTCCCCTCCAAACACCTGCTCCTGCAGCTGTACACCATCTGTACTTTTGTGGTGCTGCACCTTTGAATGTGGTGCCCCCCCTTTTCTTCCCCCTTTTTTGTATATTGAGCTATTGCTTATCTGTTTAATAAGGAAAATCGTAATGTGTTCTTTACACAGAGCCATCTCTTAGCTCTCCAGGAAGGTTAGGCGGTTCCTTCCCTTTGCACTTCTGTAGATGCTTGTAACCTATTTATTGGCACGCAGATCCACTATTCCCACCAGCCTCTAAACCCTTTAGCAAGTTTTATATTCTCTTTGTTCTTAATAAGTACGTGATAAGTTCTTAGTAAGTATAGAATAAATAAGGCTTACTGAAGTGATAGAGATTATGCATTGAGTTAGATAATGATAAATGATGTTTTTTCAGATGTGGGTTTGAGAAAACACCCATTGAAGTCTTATCCTTACTTGTCTGGGGGAGATGCTGTGTGTTCCCCGTTGCCTTGTTCAAATTCACTTGCCCCACAATTAGAATTTCTCCCTAATCTGATCTTACTCATCTTTTCTTCTCCGTCAGTGTTTTAGAGATGTAGGTGCGTGATAAATATTTGCTGAATACAGCACATTGTTTTTGATTGATGTCATAGTCCATAAATTGAAATAAAAGGTTGATCCTGGTATTTTTCTCAAAGTAGTAGTACCCATTTAAATTTTTTCCCCTCTTCTCTTTCAGAGGAGGGGCTGTCCGACGAGGAAAGACCTGGAGCTGGAGAGGCCGAGGGGCTGGCGCTGCAGGAGTCTGATGTGGATTACTCGAGTGCTGCTGATGCCCAGGAGTCTGGCAACGAGGAGGAGAGTGGGCTGGGCCTGAGGAAGAAGAGCAGAAGTCGCTCTGGAAAAATACCAGGCTTCAGTGTCCAAAGCATTACTGACTTTGGACAATTTACTGAGGGGATGGATGACATTGGGAGCAGTGAGGAGGAAGACGAAAGTGATGCGGAAGAGAGCGGCATGGAAGAGGGGGATGGCGAAGACGACCTTGAGGGCGAGAGTGAGGAGGACGGGGCTGAACACAGGAGCAGTGAGGACGATGGTGTGGTGATGACCTTCTCCAGTGTCAAAGTGTCCGAGGAGGTGGAGAAAGGGAGAGCTGTGAGGAACCAGATAGGTTTGTACATGGTTTTGCTGACTGCTTTCCCCCCATGTGCCTGCATTTGATCTACTTTTTGTTTGTCATTTGCTTGTTTTGCTTAGTTTTGGCTCTGGTCTTTCTCTTCGGTGCCCTTTTGATTAGTTTGTGACATGCTCCACTTACCTAGAGGCCTCAAGCCTCACTCAATGCTTAGCCAGCCATTTCTTCACTGAGCGCCTTAGCTGGTTCTGCTCCAGGACTTGCGGCTACGGTGGAAGATTGCTTTGAAGAGAGGAGTATTTTATCCTCTCCTTGGGCTTTGGCGCTCCCTCTCTCATGAGCAAATATTTGCTTCCAAGATACTGCATTTCCTTCCTTTACTAGAGAATGTTACCATAGCATGTCACTGTGATAAAGCAATGCTGCTTAAAGAACTGGTGTGACTTCCTGCCCCTCCTCCCATGCTCTTCCCCTCCCCACCCAGGAAGATTTTGTAACTGGGGTGGGCTTTTCTTTCTCTCTTTCTCAGCACTGTGGGACCAGCTCTTGGAAGGAAGGATCAAACTGCAGAAGGCTCTGTTGACCACCAATCAGCTTCCTCAGCCAGATGTTTTTCCTATTTTCAAGGACAAAGGTGGCCCAGAATTTGCCAGCGCCCTAAAAAACAGTAAGGATACTTAATTAATTGATATTGGGATAGGGAGAATCATTGGGCTATATTGTGATACACGGGGATTGATCTATCGGAGGCACCACAGGGTTAGAGAAGAGATTTTGTTTCAGTGCAGGGCAATAACAGTAGAATCCTTTTGCCAATGAAGATGAATGTGATGGAAATGGATTGGGCAGTTGCCTATTTGGCTCTCACTTGCTCTCAGTTCTCCTTCCTCTTAGCTCTCTAGACTATTTCTTTAGTGGTTAAGAGCCCCGGTGGTGTACTGGTTACGTGTTGGGCTGCAATCTGCATAGTCAGCAGTTCAAAACCACTAACAGCTCCTCAGGGGAAGACTGGCCTTTCTACTCCCGTAGCTTTAGTCTCGGAAACTATAAATCAGCATTGACTTGATGGCAGTGAGTAAACCCACCTTTGAGTCGATTACAACTTAGCAACCCCTATAGGACAAAGTAGAACTGCCCCATGGTGGAAATATTTGTGGAAGCAGACTGCCACATCTTTCTTCCTCAGAGCACTGGTAGGTTGGCTGGGACTTACCTGACCTTTCAACCTTCCAGGTAGCAGCAGAGCACTTTAACCGCTAGTGGCCCCCGTTTCTCTCTTTAGTGCTTAGAGAACACTATTTGAAAACCCATGGGTGTAAGGTAAAGTGACCAGATTTTAGCATTGGTAAAGCAGGACACCATTGATAAAAGTCATGTCCTGGCGAAATAGCCACATGGCAGCCGAAAACCGTATACCCTAGCTTGTCGTGCATTCTTTCAAAAAATCGGGACTTTTTTAAAACGCCGCAGGACACGGGACAAATTGTTAAAAATCAGAACTGTCCCGCCAAAGATGACGTCTGGTGACCTTATTGTAAGGGGAAGAGAAATGGAGAGAATGAGGAAACTCATTTTATAAATTGCTCTGTCATGTACTTCAAAGATGCTTTTCTTTGCACTAGAGGCTTTTCGAACAACGTGCTAAGATGATGCTACTCCTCTTTCCTTTGAGTGGTAGATACTTAGAGTGGGGGAAGAGGATGCCTGCAGATGGAGAAACAAGTTTTGGAAGAGAATTGCTGAGGTATAAAAGTCAAGAATTTTAGAAGAAAAAAAGAATGTCAGGGTTTTTGGACTCCTAATTCCTTCATTTTACAGGTGAGGAAACAGAGGCCCAGAAAGAATAACTTAGCCCAAGTTAGAGTGCTTGTTCATGCATGGCAGGGACCTAAGTCCAGCTTTTCTGTCAGGTAGTCTAGGTGACTCCTGCTGCAGCGCAGCTCCTTGTCTGGGTGCCCAGCGGCACCAAAGCTCCGGGCTGGAGGGGGTTTGGGTGAGTCTGTGCACTGTGGTGGGTCTTGCTGCTTCTTATTTGCTTGTCCAGCCTTTGTGCCTTCGCTTTAAACTGTTTCTTCATGTCATCGTGGACTTCAAGCAGGAAGGAGCCAGAGGAGGACGTCTAATTTGCCAGCTGCTTCTTAGCGGAACCGCCTTAATTCATCAAGATAAAATGTGTGACATTTCTAGGGTAGGGAATTCCCTGAACCTGCTTTAATTAGGAATTAACTTCTCAGACACTGGTCTTTAGCTTGTTTGTCTGCCGTACCTGCAGTCCCATTTCCTGTGTGAAACCAGAAAAACGGCTAGCCTTAGGAGGGGGTGCGATCCTTCAAGAAACTCTTCACCTTGTGTGTGTGGGGGGTGGGGGGGTGGGGGGGATGTTAATGGAGATTTAGATCCTCCTTTTTTAGACAAAAAGCTTGGTAGTTGTCAATAGTATTGAGATTTTTTCTGAGCATTTCCTGTTCCAGGATCCACATTCTTAGTATCTACTGCATGCCTTTGGAATGAAACCCAGATTGCTCTAGATCAGATGTTTCAAATACAGTCAGGCCTTTCTATTTTGTTACTCATTGTTTTTCTTGCTCGACCCTTTATCTTTTTAAATTTGCATTTATCTTAATGATAAGTATTTTTAGGTTAGTAGGTGTGAGGTATACCTGTGGGCATATTCTTGAGGAGAGTTTAATTTCTTTAGTAGTTATTTTTTATTTTTTTTTCTTTAGTAGTTATTTTAATGTTGCTTTATTTTTAAATAATTCTGATGTTTTTAATCTGTCTTTAAAAAAAATTTTTTTTTGAGTTTTTGCCTTATTGGTGATTTTAGTTACTCTGACAGATGCTTCTTAACCTGGCAGGGTGAGTTGTGGTAGAGGTAGAGGTGGGAATACTTGTTTGAAGTCGGGTATTCTAAGAGGAAGGGTGGAGCATTCTTTAGTAACCAGAGTTTCTGGGCATCTGAAGTTTTTGGGTATCTGCTTTTGGCTGGGCTGTGTCTTTTTATGCCCTTAAGACATAAGATGCAGTATGCTTTTTTGTCTTGTTAAACAGCTGTAAGAAGACATTTCTTGGCTGCATTGCTCTAGCTTAACAATTTATACTGTTTGTGTTTGTTACACAGTGAACCCTGGTAGTGTAGTGGTTTAAAGTCGGACTGCCTGTGTTTAGAGCCTATCTCAATAGATTACTGTGTGACCTTGGGCAAGTTACTTAACATCACAATAAAACGGGCATAGCAGGCCTGTGAGGATTAAAGGACATAATATAAAGCAGCAGCACAGTGCCTGCCACACAGCACAGTTATGAATCTTAGGTACTCGTATTACCTTTTCTATTGAAAGACATTTCACAGTGGTCAACCAGTTGTGTAATCCTCAGTGTAACTGACCATCATTCTCACCGTCTTTACTGTTTTTTTGACTTTGCTAGTCTAGTGTACTAGTTTCCTGGGGTAGGGTCTTAAAATAACAGAAATTTATTCTCTCATGGTTCTGGAGACTACAAATCCAAAATCAAGGTGTTGGCAGGGCCATGATGTCTTGGAAAGCTCTAGGGAGAATCTTCCGTTGCCTCATCCTAGCTTCTAGTGGCTGTCAGCACCCTTTGGGGTTCCTTGGCTTGTAGCTGCATCGCTCCACTGTCTGCCCTGCCTCTCCTTTGTGTCTGTAGCCTAGCTCTCACCTTAGGACACCAGTCATTGGATTTAGTGCCCATCTTAGCCAGTGTGCATTTAACTGTAATTGATTAGTCGCAAAGACCTGACCTCCAAGTATTTCATCCTCAGGAATTGGAGGCTAGGAATTAGACGTATCTTTCTGAGGGTCACAGTTCAGTCTATGCTGTTGCTAGGTGTTGTAGAGCTGGCTCTCACTTCCAGCCATCCTATTAATAGTTAGTATTGCTATGTTTGAGTCCATCGTTGCAGCCACTATGTTGGTCCTTCTTAGACAGCCTTCTTCTCGTTCCCTAACTCTCTACTTGACCAATAACAATTGTTATTGAAACTTACTAGATGATTTATAGATTGTTCTCTAAAATGTTTTACTTTGATACTTGCAATTCAGTTTCTGCCTTTTTTGACCCATTGGAAAGGTGGCCAAAGATCTTTTTTCCAAACTTAGCTGCTACCTTCCTGAAGCATTTAGCCTTTCTTTGAAATAGTTTCCTCTAGTTTGGTGATAGTACATGTGTTTTTCAGATTCTTCTCCTACCATTCTGATTCCTTCTTAGACTCTTCACAAAGTGAACATTCTCACTACCTCTTATTTTTCCATTTGCATTAGTTTTCTTGCCCTATCACTTTCTTTCTTTGATTTAAAGTGATTATTGACCATTTGATCTCATATGAAAACTCAACTCACTGCCATCTAATTGATGCTGACTCATAACGACCTTGAAAGACAGGCTGAAACTGCCCCTGTGAGTTTCTGAGACTGTAACTCTTTACAGGAGTAGAAAGCCCTTCTTTTCTCCTGAGGAGCTGCTGGTGGTTTCAAACTGCTGACCTTACCGTGAGCATCCACATTGTAACCACCAGGCCACTAGGGCTTTTGTTGGTCTCATATAAAGGATTTTTTTTTTTAGGAGCACAGTTCTTATGGGTGGTATTCTTCATTTTGTGAGCCAGTCTTAATTTAGCTTGAAGGGGCTGATTTGGGTTCAATGTGTACAGAGTGCTCTTAAGGCAGTCCAGGAGTCCTCTAGTCTCAATTGGTCCAGTAAATTTGGGTATTTTTTAAGAATCTAAGATTCTGTTCAGGAGGTTGTTTTTTTATGTTGGTGGCAACAATGTGTAAGGAAGACGCTACTGAGGAAATACCTGCATGTGTATTTTATTTAAACTTCATTAGGGAAAGCATCAATGCTGTTTGATGATAAGGACTAGTATAATGAGCTATGGGGTACCATTGCCGGAAGCACAATGTTCTTATCCCATATGAAAACACCAATTTTAGCACCGGTTTCTTAAGGGTAACTGATGTAAATGGGTGGGAGAAGTGGGGGCATTTCTGTAACAGGCATTCGCTACTGTTTTCTTCAGCATTTGTTCTGGCGCTTCAAATGAGGTGATTAAAAGAAAGCTAAACTTCAGCCATAATAAGTTGACCTTTTGGTGAAATGCATGTTATTAATGTATTTAATGAGATGCATTACAAACTGCAGTGAGCATGATGTTTCATTACAGGGCTAAAATGTAGTATCATTAAAGACCTTTAATAGAAACCATGGTTGACATTTTGATATTTCCCATAAGCAAAAAACAGCCAAAAACATGGTATAATATAAATATAGGGGAAATGTTCCCTCCCCTCCCCCCCCAAAGAATCTAGAAGCAAATTCTGTTAACAAATTGCATTTTGTTTCCTCTCCCTCTTCAGAGCCACCCTTGGATCTCTCTGTGGTCCCTCGTATGGACCCCCAAATTATTTTGACTTGAACAGACTAAACATTTTAAGACTAATTTGACCTCAGCCCTAATAGACAGCCACAAAAATATAGCCTTGATAGGTAATGTTTCTAAACTGGAATTCTCAGGGCCTAAAATGAAAAAGGTACTAAAGACTGTAGACCAAAAATCCTCCCACAGCCCCTGTATTCGTGCCACTTGGCACCCCCTCCAGTGGGCAGTCAGCTGGTGAATACCTTTTTTTTAATTACTTAGCTGCC